AGGTACTGGATAGAGAGACCGGGATGGTTTTTAATGTGAAGACAACAACAACAACAACAACAACCACAACCAACGGAGACGACCAAGCAGAATATGACCTCCGCAATAGTCTTGCCAGTAACAAACGATCAATTTCGCACTGCACCTTTGCTGCGATGACAGGCGAATGCCGGTAAGGTCTTTGCTTAACAGGCAGCGCGTCCTTCTTACGGATTGTTCGGAAAGGATCTACAACCACGTATAGCCCATATCCGTGGGATGTTTTGAAAAACGATTGTCCACCGCACAAAGCAAATCCCCAAGATCATTTATGTCTTTCGGTGTCCATAATCCAGCCTCGAAATCGAATTGAATGGTCTGTAGATGTACTGGAACCTTTTCCCACAAATTCCTGAAAGCTAGTTGCTGGTCCGCATCCAAAAAACGCAGCACATCTTCAGGCGGATCTTTAATGCGCTCACCTGGAACATCTTCCACCACTGTTCCTACAAGCTCATCGATGTCAGACTTCGGTAGTTCTTTAACCACACCGAGTTCTAACTTGGCTCCGCCAGTTCCCAACCGCATTCCTTGCTGAACTTGAAAATCATCTTCCCCCGTGCGATGTAGCGGCATCTCGGACATTCCAACATCGACGATGGCTTCCTGCGGGGACCAACCATCGGCAAAACGCACGTAATATGAACCGTTATCAGCGGCAGTACCATCGGAATTCGTCAATTCCACTGTTACCCAGGATAGTGCATCCGGCAAACTCATTTGTGTACCCGCGTATCTCACAATGACTCTGTTAGTGGACTCAGGTTCCACCAAACTCACCGCTGCATCAACCCATGCTGCAAAAGCAGGATCTGNCGTCAACCCATGCCGCAAAAGCAGGATCTGTTGCGGGTGAATCTTCAATGGCCCCCGCAAAGGTAACTATTGTTTCGTCATCGTTAACGTCTACATATTTTCGTTGAGGAAACTCTTCCCAACTGTCACGGCCTAATAACACGGCGTGAGAAATACGTAGCACTGTCTGGCACCACATTAGTGAACACTGCTAAACAGGCTGTACAAGAGCCTATGTTTCTTGGTGCGTAGCGACCACCTCGCCACATATGCACATTAAGTCTCACCCGTTCCGATGTTTTCAATGGGACTCCATTAAAGCCTCCCCATTGCAAATGTTTTCCATTTTTGATCCCGTCAGAGGATGCTGCTCCGCATGCAAGCGTTTGTGTAAGCGTACTTTCTTTCACAAATGACGCTGGACTTTCCGTGTCCAACAATGCATCACATCCAAATGTTTGAGTCGCTTTGGATCCCACAAACATGGACACTGCGGCAGTATGATTACTCATGTTAAGAGTAACATCACCTCCCACAACTCGCGAAAATTCTTGCAAATACTCCGCTCTTTCCCCCGGTTTAAGGGATACCTTGTGAGGAGGAAACACCTTATCGCGCGTGATTTTGGCGGCAAGTTTTTCCTGATTATTATTCAACGCGAAAATGTTGTCTTCATCATTCGCATGTGGAATAAAATCTTTACTGATTTCTGCAGAATCATCACCAATATTAGGTTCAACTATTGGAGACAGGGTACCTGCTGAGTTTCCAGCACTTGCACTTCTGCTGCACTGATCAACTCTCCCTTTGGTTTGCGCTTCGCATTCGTCGATGCTTTCATGAGCCAAACCACTTTGCGCNTCTATGCTATCGTGAGCCAAACCATTTCGCGCAGAATCAACGCCAACACATGCCTTTAGTGTTGCCGTGCGGGAACCTGCTGAGCCGGCGGTACGTGGCGTTCCTCTACCCAGGAATCCAGTCACCTTCGACGACTGCCTTGCTCGCCCCATGGAAAAACCTCCCCGAGTGTGAACATGACCTGTGGGGGGTATACTCTTCGCCTGATCTAACGAAGGGGGTCCACTGATAACCCCTGTAGCTAAAGACAGTGACGACTTGTGCGTTTTCTCTTTGTCTACTACACTCGAAACATCCGGACCTTGCGTTCTTGTGGAAGTTTCGCTTCGAACCGTTGAGTTAGTCGGGGGCCTATTCCGATCAACTACACTATTCGGACGGTCAACCCCCGCGATGGAAGTTGTGCACTCCAATGTATCGGTTTGTGTACTCGGGTCTGGACAGGGGTAATTACTTCCTGTCTCTGGGAGCTCGAGTGGAACAACTTCAACACCATTGTTACCGTTTGAGGCCGTCTCTTCATCGAGCCTGTTATCATGGCTCGTGGCGTGCAACACGGACTTGATCTTTTTGTTTTTTTTGTTCTGTAGAGCTTCTCCCTTCTTCCCCTCGCTCCTCGACAAGCTTTTGCTTAGACATGGGTTGTAGTGAAGGGGGGGGTCTTTCTGGCGAGCAGGGCTAGATTCACCCTCAAGGGATGACCGAAACCTTCTTGCTGCTGCGCATATCCGCCGCGAGGCATGCGCGTGGTGGTGTAGTTGGGTCGGCACTGATGGGGTCAGGCGAAAAAATGTAGATGCGCGGGCCTCTGGCCGTCGGCGTAGGCAGCGATGCCCATCTCATTTTTTGTGCGCGGAGGCAGACACCGTCAGAAGGTGGACGGGAACTATGTACACGGCCCTAGGTTGGCTAGAGGGCGCTGCATTGCCTCAGTAACCTGGCTTCGCCATCAAAGGAGGAGGGAGCAGGTGGCGACGAGCTGAACTGGGCTGGTTGACCCCTTCGGCGCGAGAATTTTTATTTTTCAGACCAAGAACCTTGAGTGCAACGAGGGAGAAAGCGAGGAACCGACTGGGAAGGACAGCAACGAGAGCGTGTACGGACGGAGCAGGTCGAGTGGCGTTATGCTCGGGCTGACTACAGCGGCGCCGGACGGAGCAGCGGCACCGGAGCATGCGGGCGACATCGACCCGTGGCGCACGGACAAACATTTATATCTGATCTGTGTTGTCAATTTTTCTCGTTTTTTTCCTGATTTTCGGTGTTGGTTCTATGTGATGACGTCGTCACTGGTTTTGTAGAGAGACCCGTCAGAGATGGCGTGGCTAACCCGGGTGCCTTGGTTATGTGCCTGATCGTGGAAGACCCCTTCAATGTGGAACGATTCTTAGCTATTGTCGATATTTTCACTGCGTGCCTAACACAGACGATCGGGAGAGGTTCGGGTGATTGTCCATTGCAATCATGGCTTTGGTTGGTTGTTCTTTTTCACTGTACGTCCGCAGACACATTCTGACAGCACTTCAGACAGCAGCTTTGTGCCCCGCCAGCTGCTTGTTCCATGCCTACCATGGTGTTTTTGTACAGACAGCACTTCAGACAGCATTATGCTGTAGTCGGCAATCTTCCGTTTTGGTATAGAGTGGGACAGGGAGGGGGTGATGCTACTGTAGTTGAACGGTGGGACGGACGTGCAGTTCAGTTTTTGGGCACGCATACAATTTTAGGTGTACCTCTTCGGGCTCTTGCATACCTTTTTCTCGTCAGATGTGTGCGTGTTCTTTAGATCCTCAGATGGCTCTAGCACTTTCGTGACAACGGGCTGAGAGTCTTTTGCTAGATTTTGGCATTTAGCAACTGACATACGGTTTAATGTGAAGACAAACAAAAACAAAAAAACAAAGTCACACGCACATCTTGAGACACATAGTGATTGGTGGCCGCTCTGCCTCCAACAAACGGGCCGGTTTGTTGTCGGGCCGTCATCCTTGATGACCCCTAGAAAACTTTTTCTTTCGCTGCGTTTCCGCCCACGAGGTCAAACGTTGTTGCCATTTCCGCCAATTTTGTTCGACTGTGGCAGGGTCACCGATGGCGATGTCCCGATGTATCATCAATCCCGAGACATTCAGGAGTTTTTCTTTGCATTCACGCGCAAAGTGAGAAGGGGACTCTACCCCACAGTTAAGACACCTAGGTCCAAAGTCGCGCCGAGCTTTGTCCCGTTCTTGTGGACTCGCAAACTGAACATAGAACGGAGGCTCATCATTATTTGGGCCAAACCCTCTTTGTTGTAACACTTGGTTCACTTGACAAAATTCTCGTGTCTCATCGTCAAATTGTGCTACGGACATGACAACATGTCGCTACCGTACTGTTCCGGGCAAAGACTGGGAGGAAACATTCTGCTTCGTACCCGAATAGGAACCACCTCCATATCGACCCCGCGCCCACCCGACGCAACAACGGGTCCGCGAGACACAGCAGACCCCACGCCCCGCACGCGCGTGGACGAAGTGGCTGTAGTCGTATTTTCAATCATGTCTTCAAAAGCTACCATCAGGTCGTCTAACTTATCGTACGGCAGAGCTTGCGTGTTTCTACCATGAAACACCGGAGCGGTCAAAGTAGCAAACTGGTCTGTCACGCCAGCTTTCACAGCTACTTGCAAAGTACCGTCCTCAGCAAACCCAACCAGTTGAACGCTCTCAACTAGCACCTTAAGCTCTTCAAGGTACGCCTTGAAGGTGGTGTCAACTGGAACCGCGAAATTCTGCAGCTGCTGCAGCACCAAAGCCGACGTCACTTCGCTCAGTCCACCACAGACCGACCGCAGGACCATCGTCAGGGCGTCAGGACCACTGGTCTTCGCGTCCATTGCCCGTCTCGCTTGTGTGATAGCTGCCACTAGAATCTGCTTGGTGTGGGCAGAATCAGGGTGGTTTTTCCGGACCGCATTAATCAGATGTCGTTCGAGCACATTTTCCCACCTTCGGACCCAATGATCCTGGAAAAAGTCTTGCGCGCTCACACGAATCTGATCTACCGAATTCGTAATGGCAGTCGATAGTTGGACGAGTTCGACCACATCATTATCGTTCTGCAGCGGCAAGAGCGGCATAACTATTAAGTTTTCAATAGCCATTACCGCGAAACGACCCTGAATTTTTCGCTCTGAATCTACGTCGCGTGTCGGAGAAAGTGCAACAGGCAAGGACCCCTCTGCCCGTCCCGTCCCCGGGGGCAATTCCTCCTTAGGCCGGAGGGCTTCGGTTTTCACTGGCTCGGACTTAACCGCTTCAGGTTTAACGTCCGATCGCACACCAGATGCCACTTCAGATTTAACCGCGGACAACGGCACACGCGGTTTGGATGTCTCTGGCTTCACGTAAGTAAACGAGTCTAGGCCAACTTCGTCTACAGGCGTAGCAGGCGCAACAGCCTTTGCGGAATCGACACACACCGGAGGCACTGCAACAGGTTTACGCAAAACCGGCACGGCCTCAAGGGACACCTGACCGTGTTTCCCGACGAAACGAGCCTCCTCGTCGTCGCTACCGCTACCACTATCGGTTTCATACCTGCCACGTCCGCCACCACGGCCTCCACGTCCTCGAGAGCCACGCGCGCGGCCGCCAAACCCGCGGCCATGCCCGTCCGAGTCCCCGCTCCCACCGGAATGCTGGTGAACAGTCCGCTCTTTGCCCGAGCAGTAACGTCCACCGCCACGGCCATAGCGCTGTCCGCGACCACCACCGCGGTACTCGCCGGCAGAGTCCGACGCAGACCACCCGTCACTCGAGTCCCCACCCCGGTAATGCCCCCTGCCGGAGCGTCCGCGGGCACCTCCACCACGATCGCCATGACCGGCCCGTCCACCGTGACTGCCACGGCGACTCCCACCTCCGCGGCGGTACTCGCCGTCCTCCGATCCGCTGGACGGCGTGCAGTCCTTGCGCTTTTTCGTCGCGAGCGCCATCGCCATGGCTTGGTCGAACGTGAAGCCGGACACCTGTGCCATGATGGTAGCGACTTCCCTGGCGAGAGACACCGAGTCGCCGGTTTCCTCGCGGGCCGGTGCGGCAGCGCTCCCCGACACGCGAGGCACAGACAACTCCCGCGCCGGACCCGTACCGACCGGGTCGTCCGGAATGGCACCCGCCTTTTCCAGCAGGGCGGTGTCCGCGGTCCGCTGACGCTCACGCCTCTCGTAGCCGTCCCGCACCTCGTCTCCGGTGCGGTACTGCGGAGCCGGGAGGACAGACGCACCGTTGGCTCTCGCCGCAGATTCCTCCTCTGCCAGGCGCTCGGTGTGCTCGCTCCGCATGCGGCGCTGCTGCACGGAAGCCACGCTAAGCTCCTCGGCCAGCGCTACGGCCTCGGTTTTGGCCAGCGCCACTTCCTGTTCCCGGGCCCCCCGAGCAGCGCCCTGGTCGTCCTGAGTCGCGCGGTATCGGGCTTCCAGAATGCCCAGCGACGACCGGGCGTCGGCGATTTTCGCCTCGATCGTGGCCCGCACTTGATGCGCCTCGTGCAGTTCCTCCCACATAGTCTCAACAGCTTCCCGCTGCGTTTGGACAGCCGTGGCCAACTTGCGTGTATCCTTACGAACGCGTTCATGTTGGAGACGGTCCTCCGTGGCGAGGCGCTCCCAGCGACTCGCCGCCTCCCGGTGCCACGCCTCGAGGTCGGCGACCTGCGCCGCCTTCCGTTGGACGAAAGCGACCTGCTGCGCGTCGTGCTCCTCGACCGACGGCGGGGTCGAGCGCGGAATCACGGGCGAGGCGGTCTGCTCGTCCCGCACGCCCGTCGGCGCACGGGGCGACCCAGCGGCGCCCGTACTAACATTCAGGGAGCACACCGCAACCGCGCCCACGGCGGGCGTGTCGACCATTGCTCATCGGGCCCCGGCCGCAGCCTGCCGAACAGGGTGTGACGGCTTCGTCGACACCGGCGAGGACGCGGCTGACCCCCCTGCGCCTTCCGCAAATCACGTTCTCGTCGTGCGCCGGTTTCGCGTGCATTCGCGGTCCAACCACACAATCGCTTCGCGGTCCTTCCGGCGCCTGATTTGACTCAAATCAAAACATTTGTTCCCGTCGTGCGCCTGATTTGTGTCCTCGTCTTTGCTTTATTCTGTTTTATTTTGTCTTTTGTTTT